CATGAAGGTAGGACTGGCACCATTTGGGTGGAACTGATAGCAGAGAATCTGTTTGGCACGCAAGAGGTCCTGGAGAGCTATGGCCACCCAAAGCCATGTTCATATACAGCATTTTTGGACATACCTCATGGATGCCAACAGGCCAATTGTCTGTTGTTGATGTTGTATATAATTTTTTATTACTACTTTTCTTTTGATGTATTTCTGTATATTTTTCTTTGTATTTTTTAAAAAATTGCAATGAATTTATATTATTATTAATTATTAATTATTATTACTACTACTACTACTATTACAGAACATTTTAAAATAAATTAAGTCAGATGGAGCGGGAAAATTTTAATAGCAACCTAGCTTCATCCTCGTCAACCTCGGGATGTTGGCTTGTCACAGGGACAATGTTTGCCCAACACACTGATGTACTTCCTTTTAGCCTCGCACATTGTGTGAATCCAGCATATCACGTGAGCCCCCAAAACGGGGTTGAACAAATCATGGTTCAGTTAACTATGGGCAAATGTGTTGCACAAACACAGCTTCCAAACATGGGCAGGAGGGGCTCTCTATCTTCAGGGTTTGTACGGGGCCAGAAACGAAGCAACTCTGTTTTATGCCAGCATGTCACACAGAAAAAATGGGCTGAGTAAATCATGTATTAGTTACTTATTCATAACATTTACATCTCACATTTTTACTGTTTTTTTTGAAGTCAAACATGGCTGAGGGTCATATCAGAATGCAGCCACTATTGCATCCTGTCAACTTCAGGCTTCGTGTAACTCCAAACTTTTCGAAGTAAGAAGAGAACGGGGTATCAGATACTACAGGCCCAGCCAATCTGGGAGGCTAGTCTTCCTGTGCAGAGTTTTGCCATTTCTTCCTCTCCTGTGTCATGCTCACTGCTCTGGATATTCACAGGCAATTCCTGGAAATTATTTCAGCTTCCTGGCAGCTGAGGGTTGAGTTGGATTTGCTGCGGCATGTGGGAGCGTATCTTTGCAACCAGGAGGAACTGTGTTTTGTGCCTGCAGTCTGCATGCAGCCCTACTGTCAGGTTTTGGGGAAGTTGGACTGAGAACCGTGACTGAGATGCCAACCATTAAACCTGGGTTCCCTTTGAAATGGGGCCCAGCAGGCAGTGGCCAAATGGCTCCCCAGATTGTCCACAAGCCTGATGGGGAGGTGGCTCCTTCTGCCCTTTCTCCTGAAAGCCCCCAGCGGTGCCAAAAAGCTTCGTTTGAATGCAGAAGGCTTTGCTCTGGAACGAGCTGACCCGTTTCCCTTCTCCTCCTTTGCCCCCGTTCTCCCCACACAAAGGGTTGTTTTTATTGTCTCCATCGAATGAAGTAGAGGCTTCACCTGGTCAACCCCGCAAGTGGCACCCGTTCAATGCCATGAATGCAAATACTTGACCCCGGGAGCTGTGGGGCAGCAATTAGTTTAAGCAGGGGGTTCATGTAGTACTTCAAAAGTCTTAATCTGGGCGGTCGGCTCGCCCCCTCCCAGCCCCGGCCCAGGGCCCACAGAATGCCCCTAATGAGCCTGCCAGCCAGAGCTCCCTTCCAGGACCTCTGGGGTCGTGTCAGTGGCTCTGAAAGCTCCCCTCGATCCGACCCCATTGTGTGGCTCTGGAGATTCAGGCCTGCCTTTGTCAAAGTGGGGAGGGAGAGGAGAGACCCTCGCCCCTCTTTCACCAGGCGGAGACAGAAACCAGCTTTCCGAAGTGGGGCTCCGAGAGCGCTTTGCATCTCAATGGCCCTCGGCCTCAATGCAGCTATTCAGATGAAAAGCAGGATCACTATCAGAGCTTCCCGGCATTCACCGGCTCTTAGGAATCTTTAAAGACCTCGGTGGAGAATAATTTGGTCGAATGTCAGGGTGGAAACAAAACCTAAACAAGCCGGGGACAGTCTATCATGGGAGGCTGCCAGCAAAAGGGACAATGGGGCCTCCCCGCACCCCAAGCCCCCGGGGGCCATCTGGGATGTCACTTCCACTAGCACAATGGTAGCTCGTGTGTGTGCATGTGTGTGTGTGTGCGTGTGCAAAAGAGCGAGCGAGCGAGTGCGCAGTTGCAGAGGCAGAAGCTTTTCCTGACACTTCAGAGGCGGAAAGGATGCTCCCACCCATTCGGCCAGTCCCCCGTTCTGCCGGCCCTGATTCTCCTTTGGCCAGGAGTCCTGTTAAGCCTGAAACGTGGCTCGAGCCGAGACTAAGCAGTGGCTGCGGGGAAGATATTGTGTTTGAGGTGCTCAATAAATCTGCAGAGGGAGCGTGCCAATCATTCCTTTGCTGGAAGGCTGTAAAACGTGGGGAGTGTGGAAGTTGATGGGGCAAAGCAGGCTCAACAAGGTTGTGTTCTTAGGTGTTAATTGGACGTTCGGATTTGAAATGCCATTCCCACCGGTTTGCATGGGTGGAGATAGAAAAGCCTGTGGAAGGAAATGATAAAAATCCCAGGAAGAAATAACGAAGGAGGAAGGGGGAGGAAGAAGAAACGGAGAAAGAAGGATGAGAACAAAGAAGTGAAGAGGCAGCTGAGGGGAAGAGAGAGAGAGAGAGAGAGAGAGAAAACTGGATTCAAGAATTGGGGTTCCATCTGTTCTGGATGGGGTCCCACTCCTCAGAAAGAACAGGCCTGTAGCCTGGAAATACCCTCTGATCCCAGGTGTAGTCAGATTCACACAAATATATCTAGGACGCCACTCTCAACTGCAGCTGGGACCATCTGCTTTGGCAAGATATTCTCTCCTTGGCTACCCTCATCTTGACTACTGCAAAGTACTCTAGCTGTGTCTACCCTTAAAAAGTGTTCTGGGGCTCCAACTGACATCGACTAGGCTGCGAACGATGAAGTTACAAGGATCCGTTGATTCCATGCTGAGAGAGTCGTACAGAGTGACATTTGTTCTCCAGGCACAATGTAAGGTATTGGTGTGAAAGCGAGCCCAGTATGCTAGGGGCGTATGGTCATTCCAAGAAGTGCCAGGAGGAAGATGCTCAAGGAGCCTAACTGTTGCCAGCACGTTGAGTTTTCAAACATTTCTAAAACTTCCAGCATGGAATGGGGAGGGGGGCAGGGGGAACGATCATGGCTTGCCTAAGGTAGTTCTGACAAATGCGAGCCCTATAATGGGTCTGGTGTGGTGAAAGTAGTGAATTTGCTCTCGTCAAGATCTGTGCAAAATCCTTATTAATCTTCAGCCTCGATACCATGCCCCAATATACTACTTCCCTTTGCCTGTATCTGGCAAATACTTCTTCCGCTGCTTAGTTTAAAAGGCAAAGACAATGCTCTTCGTGCGGGCATGCATGGGTGTGTACCTGCAACCCTTGCAAGACTGTTTTGGAAGAAGAAAGCCCAATGAGCGAGCAGATTGGCGTCACACATCTGTTTGCTCCGTGTTAATCAGCCAAGTGATTAACAAGCCAACTTAAGAGGACGTGGACATGCCCATCCTTTGTGGGAAGTTTTAGGGACTCCAAAGCATCACCTGTACAAAACTGCAGCCCATGAAGAAGTTAAGGAAGCAAACCTGGCCAGCCTCTTTGAACAGGATAATAAACAGGCTTAACTGCTCTGGATTTCACTCCGTTTTTTTCTTTTTTAATCTTGCTCTTCTCTGTGTTATCAGCATGTACAAAATATGGCCCTGCTACCTTTGGCCCTGCCGATCTGTGTGGTGCACCCACGCCAAAGTGCGAACAAGAAAAACCAGTCATAAACATTTGGAGGGTGGAAGAGAGCCACTTCTGTTATTTTCTTTTTATTAGCCGCTAAGAGTTCCTACAGGAACCTTCGTTGAGGTTCCTTCAAACAGTTGGGTTAACATTGACCAGATCTATCCTAAAAATAACAACAGAATCTCTGCCTCTTCTCCAAAATGTTTGCTATATTAGCTGCAGCCTACTGAGTCAGATGGATGCCAATAATGCTTGTCCTTCACACCCAGAGGCTCACACACGGTGGGTGGGGAAGACCTGGATGGTCCAACACACAAATGGCACGTCATGCAAGCAGAGCTCTTCCATTCATGTTGGTTGCAAGAGCTTGCATCCTACCTCACTGAAACGTATACGGTAGTTCTGTGCATTTCAGGTCATGTGTCTTCTAAGAAGAAATGAAAATTCTGTGCCTGCATAGATAATGCAAATTACCCTTATTCTGTAGAATTTATGCTGCTTCTGCCAGCAGTGATGGGTAAGATTTGTTTGAAAGACCTCTAGTATCTGTTCCCTTGAATCTCTGGAAAAAATGATTCTCAGATAGCATGCAGTAATAGTTGTACATTTAAGCACGTCTTCTCAGTCATAATGACTGGAAATTTGAATTTTAAATTAAAAAAAGCTGAAATTCTTAGGAGCCGAATGTGCCAATGAAATGCTGTATCGCATCTTGGTTTTTTTCCTGTACAAAATCACTAAATACGCTCTCTGTTTTCCTTGGACCAGTGGTTACTTTAGCTATGCAGAGACCATTAATTCTTTACATGCAACCTAGACCTTGGAAAAGTGGAAGTATCTTATTCCATCAGCACTCTTCAGTGTGCAGATTTTGAATGTGTAGTTGTGCTTTCTCACACTGCACACAAACATATGCTGGGCACGCAATGTGTGTCATGCAACTGAACGTGGGGCATTAGCATGCTAATCTTGGCCCTTTATACACTAGAATACTTTGGGACACACCAAGAAGTTCTCACAAAATTGTTTGCAGAACAAGAGTTTTCCCAAATGCATGTGGACTTCAAGCTCATGGACTCATTTCAGTCATTTCTACATTCACGTTGCCCCACCACCACCCACCCATTAATGCCAGTTATTTGATTTGGAGGGGGGGGGGACTGCAGCCCACCTTCTTGACACTATTTGCATGAAATACAACCGTTACATGTAAGAGGAACACTGATTGCATCCTTTGACATTGGTGACATTTCACACACAGGCAAGCCCTCTTATTCTCTCTCACTCAACACTAATTCAAAAACATCCGTGCCTTATCCATTTTGGCCAGATTTATTTAGCAGAGTACTTCATTCGATCTGTTTCCTCCTTCCTCTCTTTGCATCTGTTTTGCTGATGTCAGCTGGGGGAGACTTAAATACTTTTTCTCTAGACTGTAAGCATACAATTCTCTCTTACTGGCAGAAAATGATATAAATTAGTAAGGGTCAGAAAACGTTCCTTGGATGTTGCATTTCAGATACACCTTTGCCCAACAGGCTTTTGGGAGAAGTATGTACTTCATGAGTCCTTTGAGAAGGCCTCATGTCTGCTCCCACGGCATTCCATCTTTCCCCTTTGTGAGAGGAGGTCTCTCAGTCCCACCCAAAGTCCTGCCCTGTCATTTGATAGAACTTTAGGTTGAAAGGTCTGTAGAATTCCTGCAGGCGCTGGACAACCTGTGGGTCAATTTTGGGGTGCGGCCGTCCTTTGGACTTCCCCAAACATCGGGGCCTGCTGCTCCCTTCCGGTTTCTTCAAGCAAGGGAAACCCTTGGTTTCGTTGAAGTAGAAGTGCTTGTCAGTCACCACTCGCTTGAGACCCAGAAAGTCTTGGACACGGCCCATTTCCCCAGCTGGGTCACTCACCAATCTCTCTCCGCTGACAAAGAGAAACTTGGATAGGGGGAAATAACGCAGCCAGTGGTCCAGATGTTTTACATAAATACCAATCCTCACAGCACTCCACGTGGTATCAATAAGACCTGTGCTCAGATTCTTGAAGGCCAGGGCTTGGAAGCTGGGGATGGTGGGGTTCTTGGAAAGGGTCTGGGTGTAGTCTGAAATGGCCCGTGTCACAGGGTTGCGTACCACCACGATCAACTTGGTCTCTCTGGACATATTGTAAATGCGCCGCGGGGCTTCCTTTGTCACAAAATAACTTGGAGTTTTCTCCATGGTGATCTGTCCCTCCAAGGTCCTTGGCATCAGGTTTCTGTAGGAATAAAAGCCATACAGATTCCTTCAAATAAACAAGTTCCATTTGACTTTTCAGAACATGGTAACTGCAGGAGCAACGGACTTTACAGGAAAACTAAATGCATCTCTGGAACTGGGAGCTCCAAAAATCCTTCACATTTAAGCAAGATTTTAGGTGCAAACTTGCAAAGATTTCCTGGTGCTGTTCTAGTTGTAGTTTTCTTAAAAGCAACATGGAATTTAAAGCTTGCATTCCCTTTCAGTTGAGAAACCTCATCAATATTTTTCTGATCAATATCTTGCTTTTCATCAACATCTCAATAAAAAGCAATAACACAGCAATGGTTTTAGCAAAGTTCTTTTGGCCTCCTTTTGCTCTCTTTCAGTTGAGGGAAAATATTCCTTTCAAAGTTGTTTTAGGCAAAAACTGGCAGTAAACTAGAACATTTCAGAAAAATATGGTTAGTTTAGTTCTTATTCCCTAAACTGACACTACTCAAGCAGAGTCCCCCTTTTCTAAGTTGCATTGAGAGGCCTGCTATCAAAATGATTCCTTGTACCATCTCTGACGGGATAGCCAATTTACTTCATTTTGATGGGAATTTATTTATTTATTTATTTATTTATTTACTGAAAGTTTTGAAGAAACTGGAAACATTAGAGAACCATCTTTAATAATTACTGCTAGTCTGATTTTATTGTCTAGTTTTCTCAGGACATAAAACAATGGTGAATTTGAGCTTTGTTGTTAACGGCCAGGTTTATTATGGCCGAACACTGGAGCACTGAAGTCCATCTTTATTCGGATCAATGGTATTTAAAAATGTAGAAACAGGACTGGCTGAAAACGTAACACAGCAGCAAGGAGCCTTGAAGAATCTTTTAATTAAGCATTGCTTTATTCACATTTGGTTTACATTTTAAACACCTCAGCAAAGGAATTACTGAAAGATTTCTTCCTTTACAAGCAGGTTTTGGGATCAAAATATTAAAAGTGGGTACATGAACTCTTAAAGATTGTAAATATATTTATATTCTTCCAAATCATGTGGGGCTTCTTGGTTTATATGTAATTTTTGTTTTCTGATAATGAGAACGCTTGATCTTTATAATCAGGAAAAAACTAAAATACGGAGACAATAATCAAGTAGACTTTAATAAGCAGATACTAGTTGCGGGAACCTTCCGTAATCAAGAACCCTGCACCAAGCAGGAGGTTGGACTAAATGGCCTCTGGGGAAGCTTTCAACTCTATGATTCTATTTCTATCTCCCAAATAACAGACTGACCCCATTTGCCCCACATGTCAGGAGGATATGGTTTCTCCCCTGATCTGTGCACCTTCACCTTGGCCAGGTTGGACACACCACCTTCCGCAGTCCTGTGGGGCCCTGTAAAAATATCCATGGCTCTTGGAGTCCCCGAGCCACATGCTCCTCTGTTGCTTCCTTCCCTCTCTTTGCAAGGAATCCCAGGTGCCATTCGTCCATCCCAAACATCCTGGCAGAGAGCATGAAGCTTTTTCGTCACTTGGTTTGCCTGACCAGACCCTAACATATGTTCTGAGGTTGTGTGATTCTGTGCCTCTATTTGTTCTCTCTGTCCCACTTAGGACTGAAGAATAGCACCAATCTTGACGATCGCCACTATTATTTGCAGTGTTTTCATTATTACTGTTATTTCATTGTACTGCATGCTTATTTACATTTATAGATTTTAGATGTATACTTTTCTATAAATCTCTGATACACATATTTGATGTCTATCTTGTTTCCTGGCTGTGAGGCCATAATAAAGGCTAATCTACGCAGGAGCTATAGAAGTATTATCTTTGCTATTGCTGGAATAGAACTGAAGCACCACGGCCTGCATTTCTGTGCAGCTTGCCAGCTAGGGTTCTTTTGGAAAAAGATGAAACAATACCTCTAAAAGGGAAGATGCCCCGCTGGTGTTCTTCATAAACTCAAAACCAAGCTCCCAGGGTTTCAGCCATATCTGCAAAGTCATTACACTCTGGAGACCCACAAAGATAAAAACTTTGGTGGCAACTGAGAAGAACTACAATGGGCTCCATCTAAAGAGTGGAGCAGAAGCTGAGAGAATGCCTCGCCTGAATCTAATGTGGCAAAATCAAATTGCCCACCCAGATGGGAAACTGGCAAATATAGACCCGTTCTGCGAAGGGGGTTCCCACATAATCCAACCTCACAGTTTCAACAAAGGACTCTGTCCTTCTATGGTGTCTCTCCAAGCCTCCCTTTCACTCTGTGGCCACTTTGGGTCAACTTTCTCCCCTGAGAAAACATGACTCATTGAAAAACACTTCCAAGACCCTGCTGCTTTACATACATGGAGCGTAACAAACATGGGAGTGATGATAGGACGTTTCTTCACCAAAGGTGGTTCCCTGCATTAAGGTGGCGGGGAACGTGCTGGGAGCTTCTGATCAACACAAGTCAGCATGGAAGGCTGGCACAGCCCCTGCAGGGTATGTCAGTGCCTGATCCAGCTGATGTCAAGCCCCACCTAGTTGGTTAAGATCAAGGAAGCAAGAACTGCAGAGATCTCAGTAAGGTATCTTTAATCCTAGAATTAGAACAAAAGCTTGGAAACGGTAAAAGGAATTTTCCAGCCTCATTTATGGTGTATTCATGGAGGCGGAGTCTCTGCATGATTTGAAGTGCTTCTTCCCAGGTTTCTCCCCGCTTGGGCTGAGAGAAGCTGTCAACGGACGCCCCTTCTGTCTTGACTGTTTGCATCTGCCCTCTCTTTCCTTCCTTTCCCAGCCTCTCCGCAGTCTATCACATGCGTTGATTCTGCAGCTTTTAGCCTCTGAGGGCATCTTCCCCATCCCCTTGCAATACTACCCATCCTGGAACAAGTCTGCTATGCATGAGACCAACGACACTTTCTGTGCTCCCTCCTTATCTCATGAGCTCTCTATCCCTCTTTCACCTCCACCTTCGAACCTCTTTACTTCAGAAATCTGTCTTCTCCACTATTGTTTCTTTACATTCACAAGTAATTTCCTACTTCTCTTCAGCCTCTCAACCCACACTGTCCCCTCATTTCACATCTACAGCACACAGTCCCTCCAAATCTATGACCCAGCACTCCTTTCCCCAGGGAAGGAGGGACAGCTTTGCTTCCTTGCAGAACTTCAGGATATTGTCTTGCTTATGCTGGCAACATCAGCCCCCCAAGTGAACAGAATGCCATGAACATCCATGACGTCATAGCAGCCAACAGTTGTTATGGCAGGACGGTTGCTCAGAAAGGCAGAAGTAGCAGGCAGCTAGTCATATAATCAGAAAACTCATCTTCTGGTATGCCTAATTTCAGAAATATCTCGAACAGTTTTTTTTCCAGTTGCGTCTCCTTCAGTTAATATCCATTGATGATCCTATTCTCCATACATATTTAAATTCTTGAAGAAATTAAGTCCCACGTCTGCCTCTCCCTTCTTTCCAGCATCCCGTGCCCGCAGGTTCCACATGTCAAACATTAGTGCATATATTTTCAGATCTGGACTTCGGTCACAGGGCATTTCCAGGTGGGCTTGGCAGCTGTGAACTCTTTTCAACAACTCTTTATGGAGAAATGCCAATTGTGTGTGTGTGTGTTTCAAAAAAAGGTATCCCAAGTAGTTTTGTGTCAACTGGCCTAATGGCAGCCAGATGTCAGAAATTAGGACAAATTTATGGAATTAGATGGAACAAGCGTTTACGCATTTGAAATATGTTAGAAAAGTGCTCTTGGTTTTAGAAGACGTTATCTGTTCTCTCCCATCTCATTTTTATTTTTTAAAAAAGATCTGAATGGCTTCATACTCATTCTCAACCAACATTCCTCCCTCCTGCAGGGATAAAAAAGCATAAAGGAAAAATTAAAACCAGAGTCGTTTGTCAACTCATAGCGACTTTTCAAAAGGGTGTATAAAATCAATTTTTTCTAAAGCAGCGTTCTCTACCCTGGTGTTTTGAAATGACACTTTACAGAATTCTTGGCAAATATTCTTATATTTATATTTTTTTATGACAGCTCATCCTTTAACTGCATTCTTACTTTGAGGAGAGGTGTTGGAGAGAAATCTAAAGAAGCGGGAACAAGGATGATAAAGTTAGACAGGGATCAATGCTGCAGAAACTCTGGCATAAATGACATTTTTGACAATTGCTTTTATGAAAAAACAACAATCCTGTGAGATTTCATTGTACTTGCTCATGAAATGGTGCAGATATCCAGCATACAAACTTTTGTCCATCTCTGAACTTCCCTATATTAAGGAAAAGTTTACAGTATTTTTTAATGACCCAGAGGAAGACCACGCGGATTCCACAATTGGGCTTTTGGGGCCCAGAGGTAGTCGCATAGCCTAGCAGAAGGATCTGCCCCATCCAGAGGTCTGACTTCTGAGAAGCCAAGAATGAGGCTGATGGTGAAAATGAGAAAAGCTGAACCACATTTGTTAACAATCAAAATCAAATCTTTATTATGGTCATAGACCAGCATGAGAAAGGTGGGGTGCAGTTATTAAAAAAGCATAAAGGATATATCTAGAGTAAAAAATAAAAATCTAAATCTAAAAAGAAAAGAAAAGAAAAGCTAGAAGATAAAACAGATATATGAATTAAAAAGTGTATGTATGTCTGTATGTATAAATAAATAAATAAATAACTAAAGCAAGAACCTAAAAGAGAAGGGTAGGAGCTTCAGATGGGTATAGGGGACAAAGTACCCTCTGTCTTGTGGTGTCCAAAACCACAATTTGGATTTGCCAGAATTCAGAGAAGTCCTGACAGCTTATAAGTCTAGTTTGTACTGTATCTACAGATGTGCACTGGCGTCTGCAGGAGGGTGTCTGCAACCACGTGACTGAAGCCTCACCTCCTTTTAAATATATGCTTGTGCCATGTATGTAAAAAGCAGTGGGGCTTCGACCATGTGGTTGCAGTCATCCTCCTGACATGTTTGACTCCCCTCCCCACGGACGTCGCTGCTTATATATATATATATAAATGGTTACTACGGTTTGATGCTCCCATAGGTAGGAA